GTCTAAATTTTTCTGAATTAGTATATCGAGAAAAGGAATTTGGTGATTTTGTTCTTTTTCAATAGTGAATTTAATTGTTGGTTCTTTATTATTCATATAAGATAAAAATTCATCAAGTTTTTGTTCGCCATGACTGTAAATGGCGAATACGTCATCAATATAACGCCACCAAATGATTGGTTTAAATTTGTAATTATTAATGAAAGTTGATTCAAAATTTTCAATTTCAAATTCAAAATTAGATAATTGTTATTAAAAACTGAGAAATGAAACAACGTCAAATTATTAATTTGCTTACCAATTACAAAAACATGCACTCTAAAGGAGTGTCTGTGTAATCACCTTATTACCGGTTGCTTCGTAATTATTTAAAACTCCGGTAACCATGGATAAATAGAGAAAGTGACAATAAGATAGACAAGGATAACCGGTAAATTCGACAGGAATCGTTGAATGACGGAACCTATTTCGAAAGTCATAACCTCGAATTATTAATTTGTTTACAAATTACAAAAACATACATTTGAGTCTGTAACTCCAAACAAGTGCCTGTGCAATCACCGCATTATGCACTCTTCTCGAGCAGCTTCTCGTCTTCGGTTAGTTAACTCCTGCTCAATTTATACCGGTGTTCAGTAATCCATTGGTTTAATGTGATYTYACATACGTGGTAGGAATGTAGCCGGTATTTATTTGCTACCTGGGAAAGTGTCAGTGGTTGTGCAATGTTCTGAGTGGYCCCTGAAAGGCTCTTCTGCAATTATGTCCAATACTTGTTCTAAGTGTCTGGAACCCGAACATCAATTGTCGTCCACTCTCTTCCTCAACCCACTCTCCTCGCCATTTTTTTGGCGTGAGTTTTTTCAGCTTCTGCTATATTGCTGTAGCATTTCCACTGAACTAATCGCATATCCGCAAATTCGTGAAAGAAAATTCAAAGTAAGTCACAGTTTGACAAATTATTGTTATTTTTGACAAGGGCTATCCACCTATAACTATCTGTTAATGCCAAAAAACATCATTACTGCTTTGACTTTTCATCAAAAAATTGTAGAAGAGAACTTTTAGAATATCAAAAATTTTGTACTTTGAAGCAAAGATCGTAATTTTTTTTTGAGTKCTTAAGTATTCCAATATGCTTCSAATTAAACATGGAACACCTTCAAAATAATGCTTAATAACAAAGTTGAAATTCGATTTATTTTTCCCGTGCCTTCCAAGTGAGCCCCAATTGCCCCTTAAAAGTAATGACGCCAATTTTGAGCCACCCTGTATAATATTTTCAACCCAATCTGGCAACACCGCGAATTTGGAAAACGTGCTGATTCGCAATATGTAAATGTAGGTATATCCAAGCACTAAGTTGTTCACTGTCAATATAAGCTCTTATTGATCAATATATGCATGGTGGGATTAAGCCTGGTTATGTATTGCACAAATCCCGTTCAAGAAATGTTTATTATGCTCAGATGAAAACCGTTAAATTTTCATTTACGATTTCTGTTCGCAGTTGTAGCAACATAGCCGATAAATTATGGCTAGCTATGGGTCTTGGTTTTCCCATAAATCAGCCCGGACTTTAATTCTCGACAGGAAATTTCGGTTGCTTGCACGCACATGCTTATACACTGCGAAAAACTGGCTAATTGTCGGCAAAAAACGACTTTTATTTTCCGCAAAACAGGGAAATTGTACAGCAATTCCCATGTTCACCTGCACTTGCTGAAAGAAGTGCTTTGAAAATTCCTTTGGGAGCTTCTGGCTTCATTCAATGAGATGAAAAGTTGTCCATCTATGTGTCGTGTGCATTTTTATCAAACAGAAATGCACAGTCTAAACGATGTTTTACGCTAAGAGCAGCAATTTCCCAATGTTGCCAATGCTATTTTTGAGGCACGATTTAATGCGCTGTATTCACTAAAATTGAGTGAAATTTATGAGCTTAATGTTAAATCGAGAGCTCGTGTGAAAGCAGCATATTATTATCCAGCTGAAAAGTCTCAAAGTTTCATAAAAACCGAACAAAAGTCCGCGAGCATTTAATTTAGCAAGAAAAAGTCGATTCCGCTCCATGACTGGACTGTCGACTCTCTGAGTTCGAACTCGTTTTACTCCCTTGCTGTTGCCGCTATCCAATTTGAGGCTGGAATAGTTTTTGCAGACACTCCTTTGCGCTTTTTGGGTGTTTTGCAATTTTTCAAATATCTCAACATTTRTCGAAGTTACTGGCAAAAGAGTGGAGGTATGCGCAAATSGAACASTTGAACGCTTGCCCAACATTCAGGGYTCATTAAATCCCAAARCTTTATTAAAGTTGATTTTTTCAAGACAGCTAAACTGTAGCGAATGCCCGTGGCAACTCACTCAACTCAGGGCATTTTTTTTTTGAAATATTGCAAACAGTTGCGAAGTTATGGACAAATAAGTGTGCAAACAATGTGAGTGGCAGTTGGAGTCTCTCTAACTGCAAGTCCAATTTTCTCCGAAACTACAGGGTTATTCAAAATTGGCCTCATTCCTCTGGAGGTGTTGTCTGKCGGTGTTTTAGGAGTACAGAAWAAATAKTARAAAAWATTRRTTGTTAWTAAAAACTGAGAAATTTGCAAAAAACTRTATTAGAAAAACGGCAACAATGTTTTTCAAGGTAATCTGCCTAATTAACATTACGTRAATACCGGTTGCTTWGTAATTATTTAAAACTCCGGTAACCATGGATAAATAGAGAAAGTGACAATAAGATAGACAAGGATAACCGGTAAATTCAACAGGAATCGTTGAATGACGGAACCTATTTCGTAAGTCATAACCTCGAATTATTAATTTATTTACAAATTTCAAAAACATACATTTGAGTCTGTAACTCCAAACAAGTGCCTGTGTAATCACGTTATTATGCACTCTTCTCGAGCAGCTTCTCATATTCGGCTAATTAACTCCTGCTCAATTTATACCGGTGTTCACTAATCCATTGGTTTAATGTGATCTGACGTACGTAGTAGGAATGGAGCCGGTATTTATTTGATGCTATTTTAGCAAAAATTGTTGAAGACAACTTTTTTGATATCAAAAGTTTTCGTAATTGGAAGCAAAGATTTTTCTTTTTGAATGCTTAAGTATTCCAATACGCTTCCAATTAAACATGGAACACTTTCAAAATAATTGCTTAATAACAAAGTTGAACTTCGATTTTCAACTGTTAATATCTTCTAGAAATTATCGAAAAAAAATTTCAATATTTTTCTCGTACCTTCCAAGTGAGCCCCTATTGCCCCTTAAAAGGAATGACGCCAATTTTGAATCACCCTGTATATACGAAAATCAATTGTGTTAAATGTTAATGAAAAGTGGCATTTTACGTACAATTTTTTGGGCAAATTGTGCACATTTGCGATTTTCAAAAAATTGGCAAATTTTAAAAATTGTTCTTAAAAAAATTTTAATTGCGAAATTTTTTTTAAACCATTGAGTTGCTCCTAAAAATACCGTTCGGGGTTAACAAATCGTGCTGCGCCGCCAAACCAGTAGCAAAAGAGCGTGTTTCCAGGATCAACCAGCTCTTCAGGTCTTTGAACCTTTAAACTCCCCTACCGCTGAAACCTTGTCCAAAATGAACGTTGGCTGTGAAACAACTTTTTATGCCAGGTTTATGGGCTTTTTAAAAGTGTTTGAAATTCTGAAAAATGTTTAGAAATGACCGAGTTTCAGGGTAAAGAGTGGAAGAATGTGCAAGTTTGAGAGGTTTACGCTTGCCAATATTCAGAGAGAGTTTCCTTCCAAACAGTTGCGAATAGAAATTTTCGTTTGCACAATGAATGTGTCGAGAATACACTTTGCAGACAATCTGATGTTCTATTTTTAAAATAAGATAATTGAGATTTTTATAGAAAATTGTACGGTTTTCGGCCCGATACTAACAGTCATGCAGAAAATTTCTCCATAGAAGGACCGGCTTTCCCAAAAAAATTTCTACCCTAAATATTTCTCAACGGCTCTTAATTTTGCAAATTACGATTTTTAGACAAAATCACCCGCTTTAGGTCATCGATCAAAAAACAATCGACTAAAGTATTATTTTCATTGGTCCAATTCATGTGCTTGCAAATGCATTTTAACAAGAGTGATAATCCGATATTTATCACCTCATTCCCCAATCGATTTCGCACATACTAAGGCAATATCGCAAAATTTCTTCTCGTGTGTAGATGAGAGTTTATATGTAGTGAAAGGTAGCGGCTTGGACGGTGCTGGGCTGATTAATATCCTCACATAACAGTCACATGCTAATGCGATCATGTTATTAGTATGTAATAAAGTATATAGTTATTCACTCGGGCAGTAATTCTCACTGCAGGGGAGCCCTGATCGCCCGCTGTTAAACCTCACCTTTAATGGTAATATTTATTCCGAAGTCAGGGTCGCTCAGCCAGATACCCATATATTGTTGTCTTCTCTTCGCATGAACAACTTATGGGGACGCAACCATTCGTCGCACGAAGAGCCCATTTTTCCCCCCGAGTCGTTTAACATGTATAATACAGGCTGCTAATTGATTTTACTGCACACTAAATATCACAATCGTACTCTGCTAGAGTATGTTTGTAAATTGGCCTGTAGTTTAAACAATTATTGCGGTTCAATCGGAATTTCGGGCTGGGATGAATTGGCGAATAAGATATTATAAACTCAGCTGATTTTATTTTGCTACAATTAACAAAGAGGCGGAGTTCGGCCCATTTTCATCAGAAACAGGCGAAACGCAGTTTGACGAAACTAAGTTT